CCCCGCCTGCCCGCCCCGCCCGCCATTGGCCCCGCCCCTTCGCCCCTCAGCCGGGGGGACGGCGTCCCCCCGCATCCCCCCCCGAAATGACCCCTGCTTTTGAGTCCCCCTAGAAACCTAGTACTGTTCATAGTACACATCACATTAAAGCACTGAATCAATAGTGAAATACACAAGATCACTAATATTTTTAGCAACTGAGTGCAAGTGTGGGAACATGCAGCATGCAAGTTACCTGTTAATTCAGTGAAGTTCAAAAAATTTTCATCTATCTACTCAACCAAAATTCTAAGCTCCTGTTGTCAGGAGGGTTGTATTATGCTATGTATACTGATCGCTGAAGAAGGTCTAAGAGGCCAAAATGCATATGGTCTTGTGCTGGCCATTTGGTATTTATCATCAACTTTGTATGAGGGATTTATAATAGTTTAGGTAAAACTGATTCCAGAATACCTTTAACACAGACTGATTTCCAGGCCTTATGTTTTTAACTACATTATTGTGTACACCACAATACTTTCCTGAAATCTTGGGAAGCTCCCCCACCAAGTTTGCAGGAAAATTCTGAAACCTTAAAAAAAATACACTGGGGTTTATATCCCCAAAAAATAAAAGAGTGCTTTCTGCACACAGGCAGACGACATACTTAACTTGCTTCCACAGAGCAAGCTACTCTGGCCAAAACAGAGAGCTGCTCTGAGCCCAGCCACGGTTCCCAGACATAGCTGCTGCTGTGGCTGGGCTCAAAGGTGGCTGGGCAGGGCCATGGAGCCATGCCAGGCTCAGCAATGGGGGGAGATGGGATTCTTCCCATGAGTCTCGCAGGCCCTACTTGTAATCTGTAATAGCTACTTCTGAGTTACTGCTTGAAGAATCTGACGGACCCCTTTCAGACTGTGTATGAGTATGATATGAAAAAACCCTCTAGTCTGCTTAAAATCTGTGGACATTTGCAAGACTAGACTACTGTGTACTTTGGAGAACCACTTACCATTGATGAGCACACTAGAGGTTGATAGTGTAGAAGGAGCAAAGTGTGAGATGGAACATGGATACACACTGAAAGACCTTAACAGCTACCAAAACCACTTATAAAACCTGGGGATACAAGAGACACTTACCACATTAACAGTGTAACTGAGCTGAGAAATGGTCTCTTGGCTTCTGACCTTTGCATCTCTAACTGTGTTTAAGGCCTGTTGGTAGGCACGTGATCGGACCTTTGAAGACAAAGATCCTAGTCGAATGTAGTAACTTGGCTTCTGAACTCCAGCTTCAAATCCTTCCACTTTGGTAGCTTCTTTTTCTGTAGAATTAAAAAACAAGCCACTGCAACAGTCATTCCAAGATGACAGGGCTGCAAAGCTTTCAATCTGAACAACAGCAAATCTTCCCATCCTGCGTGTTACTCTAACAGTGCCATCCTAAACAGAATTAAACCCTCCTGTGCTCCTAGACACCAATAGATTTAGAAGGGTGTAATTCTACTCAGGATTGCACTATTAATCCATTCAGTACAATCAAAGGAAAAGCCTCCACCCCAAAACAGTTAGTTGAAAAGGAAAAAAGTGTATAAAGAAAGTGTATAGCCATAAGCCAATCTCAAATGACAACTGATCATGGTTTCTTCATTATCAAGTACTCCACATTACTCATAATGTGTACAAATAGGAAACTGGCCCTTATAAAAGCACCCTACCTTGCTCTTCTTCTGTAAGTGGGAGATACTGGTCTACAAGAGTCTCTGATCGGCTGAGGGCAGTATCCACACCACTGCTCACCAGGCGCACCACCCGACTTCCCAGGACAGTGTTAATGCTGCCATGTACTACAGACCTGGTCATCTCTACACTGTCCTGCACAGCTCCTTTAGTCTTGTCCACAACACCATTAATGGTATGTGCAACAGTATCCTTGGCACCAGTCACAGTCGTCGTTACAGCATCCTTGGCTCCAACAACTACATCCACTGCATTAGCAACTACCTAGAAAAAAGAAGCAGCAAATTTTTCACTGACAGCTAAAGAAGTACACAAGATGACATAACTGGGCACAAAATTCATTGTCCCAAAGTGAACTCTGACAGGATGCATGAGTATAATTCATTTTGTAAGATGTAAAGAGTACATAGACAAAGCTATTGCTTTCTACAACGAAGTTGCCTGAACACTTACATCTTCAATAAGCATTCTCGTACAAAGAAATAATGTTCTGTTACTATACCCTACTGATAAGTCTAAATGGAACAAGTCAGACTGACTTCCCCACTACTCTCTAAAGTTTCAAGGCAGGAGTGTTCTCACAATGGTCTTTTTAGAAGAGCCATGATTTCTGTTGGGGGGGGGTAGGAGTTATATTAACATCATCCAAGGGGTCCATTTAAACTTGACTGGCTGTAAAATGAAAGACTTTATGCCATGGGTCTCCAACATGTTACCCACCAAGTGTTTTTAGAAAGTGGGTGGAGCCATGGCTCAGCTGGAGAGCATCTGTTTTGCATGCAGAAGGTCCCAGGTTCGATCCCTGACATCTTCAGTTGAAAGGATCAAGTGGTAGGTGATGTGAAAGACCACTGCCTGAGACCCTGGACAGACGCTGCCAGTCTGAGTAGACAATACTGACCTTGATGGACCGATGGTCTGATTCAGTATAAGGCAAGTTCATGCGTATGTGCGTGGGTTTCTGATCAACTGTTGATGACCTAATTGGCTGTGCAGATTAAAACGATAGTTTGGTGGCAGCTGCCACCACACTGTTGGTTTTATTCTCTCCCCCTCTCCTCTCTCCCACTGTATCTTTTAAATACTCTTATCACCTATGCTTCGGGCTTCTTTTCTTTGTGCTCAGCTCTGTAGTGGCCACTTTGAGTTTGTGCCCACCACCCTGTATCAGAGTCCCAAAGGTACCCACAGGCTCAAAAAGGTTAGGGACCCCTGCTTTATGCAGAAGCCCCCCTCAGATGTTACTGGAGAGGCCTGGAAGTATATCACCTCCCACCACTCCCAAATCTAGTGGCTTTAAAAGGAGACACAGACACTGGTATTTCCTTGGATCATGAAGAACTTTCAATAAGCAACATCTATGGATATGCAGAACCTTTGATTTTGTAGAAGAGATAAACCATGTGCACATATTTTGCATCAGACCGAAACAGGTATTGCTTCCTGCTAAGTTCAGATGTGAAGCACTTGACACTTTCCAGCTTCCATCATCAGGTTCTAAGTATCAGGACCCTCAGCCTTCCTGTCCTACACTGATCTACTTTCCCCTCCTGCCAATTGAATTAGTGCATTTTTCCAGCTCCCTTATAGTTTTAACAAGTTTAAATGATTCTCAATTATTTACCTTATCAGTTGGTTGGTACAGTATAGGCAGCCTCTCTTCAACTTTGTCCAGTCCTATACAAGCATAGCTGTTGGCAACTGCAACTGGAAACATTTCAAAAATTAGGATCTGAGCCTCTGCAATGTTAAGGGAGTTATCAGAAGACTGTATAAAAAGCTGCACTGCCTGGAAACAGGAAGTATTCTGCCGCACTACATTAAAAATGAGGTTCCTCACAGCTCTCTCGTTCACTGGCAATCAGCAAGACCTCTCTAGGAAGAGTGATCCAATTTTCCCTGGCACTTTGCCAGTTCTCAAGAACAGGCCTTCCCCAAGCTGACACACAGTCAAAGGATTATAGAACGGAGCTGCCAAGTTTCTAACTTGGAGGCACTCCGATAGTAGGCAAAAAAAGAAACACAAGACAGAGCTTGAAAGTGGGTGAAGGGTTAGGACAGAATGAACTTGAGCAAGAGGCTTCTTAAGCAATGTGGGTTAGGCACAAGTCATTAGAACTTTAATCTCAAAGACAAAATTTATTTCAGCTTCACACTTGAGTTTTAAAAGATCATCACGAACTGCTCACAGGCTCTTTTTTTATTGACTGGCAACCAGGATATGCATTAGGAACAGAACTAATCAAAACCCAACCCAAGAACATCCTGATAATTAATTTTAGGACAGTAACTAACCTGACTAAAGTTTCTTGCAACATCCAGATCTGAACTGCTAGGTCTGTGGGTAATCTCTGCTTTCTGTTTCTCTGCACTCCTAACATTTCTATTTCTGGAGGCAGTGAGGGAAGAATGACTGAGCAAATGTGGCTGCCAGGAACAATGCATAACCAGAACATTTAGCTCCACTCTGCACCACATCACATGATCCCCATTCACAAGTGGGGGGGAAATCACATTAGTGCTCGCAATGTGGGAGGGTTTAGGAGGGTCATTCTGTACAATCTGGGGCACTCTTTGCCTGAGCTATTCCAACTGTCAGGCATTAACCTCGTGACAGGAATGCCCAACTACTTTGCTTGTACCCACTGGGAGAAGGCAGGGTGGTGACAGCAGTAGAGGAGAGGACAGACAGAGGTTTCAGGCTTATCTAACCCTCCCCCAAGCCTGTACAACCTGGTGTCTCCAGGAAACTACTTTGCTTATATCCGGTACTGTCAGGGTGAAAAGGCTGCTGTGGTGCTTTGAAGTCAGCCAACAAACCAGAGGCTGATCTTCCAGAGTTCCGCTCCTAAGATAGGCAAGCCCACCACCTTTGCAAACTAGAGACCAAGACTTCTACCCACTAATGGTAAGGAACACAGAGCAAGGAAAAGATCATCTTTCTCCTCCTCTGAAAGCAGTCAGATTGCTTTGAACACTGGTGGACCTCCTGATGGCACCTGGTATTTCTGGCTACTGTGCGACACAGAGTGTTGGACTGGATGGGCCTTTGGCCTGATCCAACATTGGCGTCTCTTATGTTCTTAAAACACGTCATAACATAAATAAAGCTTCTGTGCATATCCTAAAGCAGTCAAAGCCACCCAATGAGTTGTGTAATGTAGGCACTATAACTTCTCACAGCAACTGCATATTCCAAGAAGCTAAATGCATTGGCAGCAAATGCATTTAGCCATATAGTCCTCAGTATTTCATTAAATGACATGGTCAGTGACAGTCTCTATATACAGTTTTTATAAGTAACAGTTTGAAGATAGGGAGATTATATGATAAATAGAAATATCCATATAAGGAAGAAACAGCACAAGGTAGCTGAGCCACTGAACCAATTGACTTTTTACACTCACCTACATTGCTAGTGAACTAGTAGGAGACAGTGTGGTTTAGTGGTTAGTGTCACACAGATCTGAGAAGCCTATATTCAAATCCCCACTCTGCTATAGAAGCTTGCTGGGTGACCTTGGGCCAGTCACACACGCTCAGCCTTGCCCACCTTGCACAGTGACTGAGAGGATAAAACAGGGGCAAGGAAAACAATGTAAGCTGCTTTGGGTTCCCATTGGGGAGAAAGGGGGGGGGAGTTTAAAGGAAATAGATAAATACATTTCTTCCCTAGGCAAACAAGAAAATTTCAATAGAGTATCAATTTGCAAGGAAGCAGCTGCCTTTATCATGGGCAACTCGCTTATACACGGCTTGGCACCAGGCTACTGAGAGAACTGTACTTTCCTATCTCTACCTGTTCATCTAATTGTCAGAGGCCTTGCTCTATGTGTACCCGCCATCACAAAGTCATGCAGCCAACAGTAGACAGATGTTTTCTTTAGTGGCATTCAACCTTTAATGCTCTCCCCACAGAGGTTCACAGAACCCATTCTTATTGCTCCAGCACCAAGCCAAATCCATTTAATTTAGATGGTAGTTTGAGGAAGGATGAAGCAGAGCAGAAATATTACTTGTGGACCGCTTGCAGTGATGTGAGTTTTCCAGGAAAAATTAGGTAAGAAAATGTTATTTAAATTGGGACTAGAAACAAAAGACAGCAGCTATACCATGCACAAGCACTGGTGTTTACCCATGCTTCATATCTCACATTTGCCCAACTAACACGACTGATCTGCAACACAACTTGACAACTATAGCCTTGACAACTATAGATTATATTTACAGATGTGGGGGAGGAAAATTTTCCACCCCACACCACTGGTTAATTTAGAAGAACTGCCCCACCTGCTCACCTGGAGGAACCCAGGCAAATAACGTTTTTTCCAAGTCTAGCCTAAAGTACTTTAGTAGCAGAGTTACCCCCCACAGCTGAGTTCCAAGCATTAAGTGTAGAAAAAAACCCCAAAGGGTTATGCCTTACTTTGTGGCTCCAGCCTCTGGATGATAGGCAAAGCACTTGTCATGGCCACTGCAGTGATGGTTTTCACTCCTTTCTCCGCTATTTCACATACTGATTTTAAGTAAGGATGGTTATCTTTTGTGCTGATGTAAGCAGAAGAGACCATATCGTAGGTGGAACTCACCAGAGGAAGGTTCGCAACCCTGGAAACCACATTCTGTGTACACAGAAGACAGAGATAATTGACTCATGTCCTCCTTGGATAAGTAACAGATTTGCTTGTACTTAATCAAACATACCTGCTGTGCATCAGTTGATACTACTGCCATGTTTCAATCTTGAACGTTTTAAAGTCTGGAGAGAAAAAAGAGATCACCAGTGTCTGAAATAAAATTTAACACATCAACAACAGGTAACTATTATGAGATTATTTTTACATATATAGGAAGTTAACTGGGTCATTTACTTAAATCCTTTTCATTAAGTGGGATATTAATGACAAAGATTTGAGTTGGAAATTAAGTTTTACCAGCTACTTCTTAACCTTCCAACAATTGCAAATGTATATCCCTACAAGACTCACAGGTGCAATCAGTAAAAAAAAATGCAGAAACATGTAGGATAACATACAGAGAGTCTGTTTTTTGACCAAGCTCCTTAGTGGCACCCACTCTTAACACTTGAGTTGGCCTTACATCACCCATGCTACAATGCAGCAACATTAGCCTTGCATAATATAAAAGCAGTTACTTTGAAGCTGGACGCTTATTCCAAAGCTCAAAACTAACAAACACAACCAAAAATACCATAATAGAGTAGGCATTTGCCTCCTGGTTCCTAGGACGCCTGGGTTTTTTTAAGCCCCTTGAATTCAAAGTAATTAATAACACAAGTTCCATAATTCAAACCACATACATAAATACATGGCCCTGCCAAGGTAAATGCACAGAAGTCATTATACCCAGGCTACAAAAAGGGTACATATTATACAATGTTCTCCAACAGGTACCAGTAGCTCTCTTTGAAGTGGCCAAACTCTCCGTATTATCAGCATATTACAAGTATCCCCTTAGCCTTCAGTGCTGGGTATGATGGTATACTTCTGCAAGCAGAACTATGCATTTCGAGGTCATTGCTCTAATTCTGGAATATTCCTCAAGGCTTCAGCCTATCATAGGTTCTCTAAACAGGACTCCATGTTCCTGCCAAGCAGTTTCCATTTCGGTTTTTATTCATTCTGCTGCTTTACAAGTAGACGTTCTACCCTATATTAGTCTAAAGAATAAACCTAATTACAATATTGCAAGGCCTACAGAAAGCCATTGTGCTGCCTTAATCATGAGATTCAGATAAGCTGATTCCATTAGCCAAAAATGCTCCAAAAGTCTAACAACACCCCAAGCCGAGGATTATGAAATAGACTGGAAAGTTCTGGACTTGGTTTGCTGTCAGCAGATAAGGGAGGCAAGCAATTTTTCATATTTTAAGGTTTAAATGCTTTAGAGAAAGGAATGCAGTGCATAGCAAGAAACATCTTAAACATCATCCTTTGGTCTACATTGTAAAACACACATATATGGATGACAAAGAAGCTAAGCATAATTTTAAACCTCATTAAGTTCCAAACAAGGCAATCAACCTTCCATTTAACTGCCCATCCAAATCCATGTTTTCCTATTAAACATAGTATTTTACATACTACAAACAAAAGGCAAAAACCACCAAGCCTTTCCTACCAAGAGCTCTGCGCAATCATTCCCTCCCATCCAAGAGGTAACCTAGATTCAGGTGTTGCCAACAATCAACAGAAAAATCCACAGGCTTTGCCAATAAAAAAAATGAATATAAATTCAGACTAAAAGTAGCTGCACCTGAGCAACACCAAAAGCTGAGATACAAAAGATTTCCAGTTGTACCTGTCTACACTGCCTTGAGGGCTCTCTTCAGAACATGTTATTATACATCCTGTGCCATTTCTACTTTGTTAAAAGAAGATCTAGCCTATCTGAAGTCTCCCATCTCAATCACTGTTCAACCAAAACCACTTCACCAGCTTTTTTCTTTTTAAGTAACCATATATTCCATATATTTCTACAAGCCCTTGGACAGGCTTCGCAAGGTGCTCTCTAGTCCTGTATTGATCCCCCCCCCCCCCAAGTCCCCTTTCCCTTTCATAGGAGAGAGAATTCCGGTGGGTTAGTCGTGTTGGTCTGAAGCCATAAAACCAAGTTTGAGTCTAGTGGCACCTATAGGACCCACAAAATTTAATTCTGGGTAAAAGCTTTCGTGCCACCCAGCTCCGCATGAGATACCTTTATTACACGCCAGACACCTCTCTGTCAACTTCCACTACAGGGTCTGACACCTCCAAGCGCTATTTTGGAGAAGACACACCCACGCCATTCCTCCGTAGCATCCTAAGCAACTCGTAAAGAATAGCTGCAGCGAAGATGAACTGCCGCCTGGCAGCGTCCAGGGACAGCTCTTTGCACTGGGGACGCTAGACGATCTTCGACCATGCTCCGCTTCTCCACGACTAGACGGACCACCCACCAGCCTTAACCCATGCGCCGACGCCACCAAGCGAATCTCTCACCGCAGCAGACGCCGAGGGCAAAGACGACTCACCTGCGAAAGAGACAGAGCTAAACAACCTGCTGCAGTCGCCAATTGCAAAGTCAGTCAGCTCGCTCGCTCGCTCGCCCGCCGTAAAGCGTGTCCTCGGAACTCCCAGACACAATACAGACGCGCCCTTCGTTCTCGCCGGCAATTTATGCAGCGGGGCCACCCTCCAGCAGCCACCTCTCGCGAGACTTCGGGGTCGCCGCTTCTCCGGGGGCCCCCACCCTTGCTCTTCTCACATGATGCTGCGATTTCTCTCTGAGCTTGCGCAGATCAGCTGATGAGACACTACTGCCGGTCTTCCTCGGTGGAAAGTCCCAGTTCTATCAAAGGCTGAGGGTGAAGACCTTTTGCTCATGGCTTTTGCCCTTCTGAAGGAGGCCCAGGAGCGGTAGTAGTTATGCAGCGAAGCCTCTTGAAAAAAACAGCAGCTAAACTATCTAGGCATGTTTTGCTTTGGATTCGACGGCTTGGATTCACCCCCTTGGATGCCCACTGTACAAAAAAGGGGGAAGTGACCCACCACGATTTAAAGTTCCATTGGAAAATATACAAAACGCTAGCTATTGGTTTTTAAATTGAAGTTATAGGTGTGTTTGTTGTTGTTGTTCAGTCGCACAGTCAAGTCTGACTCTTCGCGACCCCATGGACCAGATCCCGCCAGGCCCTCCTGTCTTCCGCTGTCCTCTGAAGTTTGCTCAATTTCATGTTCGTTGCATCTATGACACTGTCCAACCATCTCATCCTTTGCCGTCCCCGTCTTCTTTGACCTTCAGTCTTTCCCAGCATCACGGTTTACTCCAGTGAGTGCTCCCTTCTCATTTGGTGGCCAAAGTATTTGAGCTTCAGTTTCATTATCTGGCCTTCCAGGGAACGGTCAGGGTTGATTTCTTTTAGGATTGACTGATTGGATCTTCTTGCAGTCCAAGGGACTCTCAAGAGTCTTCTCCAGCACCATAGTTCAAAATAATGTATTCTTCGGCGCTTGGCCTTCCTTATAGTCCAACTCTCGCAGCCATACATGACTACTGGGAATACCATTGCTTTGACCATGCGGACTTTTGTTGGCAGGGTAATGTCTCTACTTTTTATCATGCTGTTTAGGTTCGCCATCGCTTTCCTCCCAAGGAGCAGGCGTCTTTTAATTTCATGGCTGCAGTCACAGTCTGCGGTGATCTGGGATCGCAGGAACTTGAAGTCTGTCACTACTTCCACGACTTCCCTTTCTATTTGCCAAGGAGTGATGGGGCCGGATGCCATGATCTTAGTTTTTTTGATGTTGAGCTTCAAGCCCACTTTTGCGCTCTCCTCTTTTACCCTGAGCAAGAGGCTCTTGAGGTCCTCTTCACTTTCTGCCATCAGAGTGGTATCGTCTGCATATCTGAGGTTGTTGATCTTTTCCCCAGCAATCTTAATGCCCGCTTGTGATTCATCTAGGCCAGCATTTCGCATGATGTACTCTGCATATATATTAAATAAGCAAGGCGACAATATACATCCTTGTCGTACTCCTTTTCCTATGCGAAACCAATCAGTTGTTCCATATCCGGTTCTAACTGTCGCTTCTTGGCCCTTATACAGGTTTCTCAAGAGACATGTGAGGTGGTCTGGTACTCCCATCTCTTTAAGGACCTGCCATAGTTTGTTGTGATCCACACAGTCAAAAGCTTTAGCATAGTCAATGAAGCAGAAGTAGATATTTTTCTGGTACTCTCTTGCTTTCTCCATAATCCAGCGAATGTTGGCAATTTGATCTCTAGTTCCTCTACCTCTTCGAAACCCAGCTTGTACTTCTGGTAGTTCTCTATCCACGTACTGTTGAAGCCTAGCTTGTAGGATCTTGAGCATGACCTTGCTAGCGTGTGATATGAGTGCAATTGTGCGATAGTTTGAACATTCCTTATTATTATTAATAATAATAATAATAAACGGTATATCTCTTGTATCTCTTGTGAACTCTCTTGCATTGAAAAATAGAATGAAAACCAGTTTAGTTTTATACTTAAAGTAACCATAATGACTATATCTTCTTGGCGCTACTCAGCCAATTAGAATGCCTGTTCTGAAGTATTGGTTAGCAGCAATCAATCAGCAAGTTTTGTAGCTGGGGCTCTGAGATGATCTGGAAGCTGCCTGTAGAGCCTTCTGCTTCTAAAAGAGGGATTGGCTGATTCCATCTGCTCCTCCTAATTATAAGCACTCGGTTTACACAGAGCAGGTGTACTGTGTCTTGGCACTGCCACACTTGGGCAGAAAGTGCCTGCCACAAATGGTAGATAACCTACCTTTCCTTTGTGCACGTGTGCATTGCAAAGGAAGACCAGGAACTGCAGGTAAGTTTTATCTCTGCTATAATTAATTCTCTCATTAAGGAACCACTGATTGTCATTTGACCCAGAATTCTCCTGGACACACATTTGAAAATCATTGCCTTAATCCCTCAAAAATATCTTGACTGTTCATGCATATACCAGTCCTCTCCTTTAATGGAAAATATCTCCGAAAATATTTTAGGACATTGAGAAAGGAAACCCACATAAATATTCAGTAAACAGGATAAAGGAATATGATAAACAATCCACAAACATACCTTCAGTTTATTTTATGCTAGTTCAGTGTCCTACAAGATACTTGCTGCAAAGCAAAATTTTTCAAAGTGGATAGTGTCCCCTCATAAATGGTCTTCTCTTTTTGAGCTAATTACCTACCTTTAACTTCAGAACAAGATTGTCTTCCTTAATGGCTATGGCCTTTGGGTCCCAGCCGTGACTATAGTGTAGAAAAGGGCAGAATCACAGTCATATGTGTGTGTGCGTGTGCGAGAGAGACACGGAGAGACAGAGCATTTATAACTGAGGTTGGAACAGTATAGCAAGATGTCATCACTCTGTACCAAATATACACATTATCATACAGAAGTAGTGCTGAGGCCACTTGGTGCTTTTGGGACTGAACTCAGAAATGAGCCAGGGATTGACTGATTTCCAGTTCACGTTATACTGAACAACTGTCTTGTGCTACAGCCATGTAGCAATACTACCGAACTCCAGGTGAAAATCCTTGACAGCCTGGGAACAACTCACAGGTTTTATGGTACCTCTCTCATTCCTACAAGGGTGAACAGCCCAGTATTGTAAGCAGCATGTAATGTACTGAGTCCAGACGCGTTGATAAGTGAAACAGCTCATAGTTTATTTCAGCTCGGGAAAACAAGACAAGGAAAGCAGGACCGGAGGCCTGCTTATATTCCCATAGTGATCCTATGATGTGCCTCAGAAATAAACATGATCCTGTATAGACCAATGGTGCAGCCTCATTTGGAATACTGTATGCAGGTCTGGTCACCATATTTCAAAAAGGACATTGCAAAGCTGAAAAAAGTGCACATGAGAACAACCAAGATGTGTATTCTGACCCAGTCATGTTTCCTAAGAAGGAGCACCCTTGGCCCTGGGGCTGGAAATGTGTGCAGAGACTTAGAGCTCAGGCTTGTACCTGGTAGACCAGTTGATCCAGCAAGGCTGTCCTCCCAAGCCTCATCCTAAATAGACTGAGAGGTAATTGACCCTAACTGTACAGCAGGAAGGTGCTGGAGTTTCAGACGCTGCACCATGCTCTGCATGGAAGTACCAACATCAGCACACTGTTCTAGTTCAACAACTGGGTTGTGACTAGCCAGTCTGGCACTGTGCTTTTTCTGTGCCACCTCTGCCAGGTCCTTCTGCTGCCACCATTCTTGTAGAGTGGGAGAGGGTCTGGGAGGGCTACAGGCCTGAGTTCAAGTTGTGCATGGTGGCTATGTATATTTTATTGCCAGTATATGGAGGCAAATAGGCAAATTTAGACCAAAGGCACTCATCTGTCAACTTCTGTCTATGTACTTGTCATACAAGTAAGGCTGTCTATCTCTAAGTGGGGTCTGGAGATCTCCTAGAATTACAGCTGATCATCAGACTATAGAGATAGGTTCCTCTGGATGAAATGGCTGTTTTGGCATTATACCTGCTGAAGTCCCTCCCCTCCCCAAACTCTGCCTTCTCCAGGCCACACATATGAAGCTCAAGGAATTTCCCAATCCAGAGCTGGCAACCCTAACAATTAGCATAGTACAATGCTGGTGCTTTTAAAAATGTCATTTATCTTTTTAAATGCCATGGTACACAAGATGGCAGAATTGATGGGTATGGATAAAGTCATATCACATCCTATATTGCTCAGGTTCTTAGGACACTTACTTGACAGTCAGTGCTATTGTACTCATTGGAATCTGCATGGGACCTGGCAACAAGAAAAACTGAAAACTGTAATTGGATTGACAGTGTTCTGGTTTTCCCATATCTTATGTTGTCAATATCAACATCTGTTGCAATCAAGAGATCAGTCAACAACAATTTAACATCACAGTTTACATACAACTATAAAATTAATAAGGATTAAAATTCATAATGTTATTGTGCTATAATTAATTATACATAAAAGTAGAGTTTGGAATATCTGCTTTCCTAAAATCAGTCAACCAACCAGCCTATGTATTTTTATCCCACCCTTTCTTCAACAAGCTCATGGTATTGAGTGGTGGGTAACTGGTGAGTAATGGTTTTCCTGTTTATCCATATTCAGTGACAATACCATGAAATAAACTGACATCTGTCAGCAACCTTGATTTTTGTCACTTGGACTCAAAGATAATTTTAGATTACCATTAAAGAGTAATGAAATATTGTAGTAATGCAGTAATGTCAATTGCAATATTTCCAGACTAGTTGCAAAGTTTTACAACTTAATCACCACCGCTGATCAAAGTTTACATTGTGCTGTCAAGAGTGTGCTCTGTATAAAGTAGAGCAGAAGGCAGTATTAATCACACATTCATATTGCAACATGGCATGATGATGATGATGATGATGATGATGATGATGATGATGATGATGATGATGATGATGATGATGATGATTTATATCCTGCCCTCCCCGCGGACAGGTTCAGGGCGGTTCACAATTAACGGCCCCATGTGCCAAATCAGCATAAAACATTTAAAAACAAGATAAAACGGGATAAACAGTCATACATCAAGCAGTTAAA